TTAATTTTAGAGAAATACATGAAACAATTTCATTAATGTTAGAGAAATACATGAAACAGTTTATTAAGTATTATATGAAACAATTTCACAACCATATATGAAACAACTTCATTAAAAAAAGTATTATATGAAACAATTTCACAAGATTAAACAATTTCATGAAAAAAATTTCTTAAGATTAAACAATGAAATCGACAGATGAAGGTGGTTTGCACGGTTTACACAAATGATGGTGGTTTTCATATGATCACTCCTCTATATAAATAATATGTATGCATACATAACATATTATATGCATTAATTAAAAAAATATAGTTTCAATATCTAAACATCAACTTAAACAAGTTTTTTTTTTTGAATCACATGGATATCCAACCCGCTATGCGAGCCGACTAATCCCAAAATGACCACCTGCTTTGCAGATAGCCTGGAGTCACCGCATTTGAATCTCCGTGGCCGTAGGGGGATTTTTATTTCTCCTTGGATTTGAACATGTAACCTCCTGATACTTTTGACCTTTGGAGCCAAGCTCAAACCAATCAGGCACCACCCTTGTGGTTAACTTAAACAAGTGTTCATAAACGTGATAATCGCAAGCAATAGGTTCAATATTTGAGTCAACATCATCTATGTAACACCCCTAAAATCGAAGTAAATTTAAACCAAAAGTCGACATACGAATAGAGCCTATAAAACATTTAATCATCCAAAATGGGGAAAAAGTATAGTGTTTACAACCCATAGATATTAGATGATAAATATTAACCTATCTAAACTACACTAAGTTTTGGTTAAAACAGGTGTTATTATCATCTTCAAAAAAATCTTGTCAAAGAATAATGCCAACTTGGCTAAAAGCTAATGACCCTAAAAGTGTCTCTACTGGCATCTAAATCCACCACTAAGAGAACCTGATATACATTTCATATAAGAAAAAGTGTTAGGGTTAATACCTAGTGAGAACAAACATTTATAAATTATATAAATAACTTAAAACAGTTAGGGTTTGGAAAACTGATATAAAACTCAACTCATATATTCCAATTAGAGACCATAAGGTCCAAAATACATCTTATAATGATGAGGGAGACTCGATTTTCCATAGGTAATAATGGAACACAAAAGTAGACCATAATTCCATGTTATAGAGCTCATACTAAAGATCAATGATCAATGAGTTCAACCAATCTATGATTTCTAGACCAGCCTCTCAATGATCCTAGTTACACTCATTCACTAGAAGTTACATCAAGCTGCCAATGGCTAGAGTTCAACCCCTGTGATTTATAGTTCAAAGCCTCTGAAATCCCAATATCTATTTCTAGTTACAAACGAGAAGATTATACCACTTCAAATCAAATCGACTCCTTTGTCTATGGATCCATTATATTATACTTTAACATAAGTCACAACTTTAAAGTGACCAACTATAATCATACATACAATTTTCACGATTCAAATGTCCTCATCAAATCATTTTATCATAAAATTTACCAACTAGAGCAAAGCTCTCATAATTTCTCAAATAATTGCTATTTTTCATGAAATACTTCCAAATAGGGAGTTGTGAAGAATAATCATTTATCACGATGTGCAAGTTTCCAAAATATTGTTGGTATGACCAATATACCCTTTTACAACATTTTCTCGAAGATCTAACACTTTCTAGAGAAAGGGGCAAAACCCGAAATCTTCTAAAATACTTAAAGCTAGCCAAAACACGTAAACATGTAAAGAATATTAAAGGAATGTTTTACGAGATTGAAAACCAAGTATTTTGACATGTATAAAGTTTTAAGAAACGTTAGGATGAACTTACAAGTTAGGTTTTGAAAAAAACCTAAAACCTAGCAAAATGAGAGGATGGATGTGTAAGTCTTGATTCCTCAACTCAAACTCTTGAACCTTGATGATTGATACCAATAAATGCTCCTTGAATAATTTAAAAATTGGACCTAGGGTTTTGACAAAATCGATAATCAGAGAAGGGTTTCCATTCATTGCATCAAAACAGAATACACGGAGGCTATATATAATAGCAAAAGAGATAAACGAGGAAACAAAAATAAACCACAAAGATAGGAGATATGCATGGAAGAGATAAAGGAAAGTAATCTAACCCTTTAATCCCAATACTCGCTCTCAAGTTGGAGCATGTAAGTTTCGAGCGCCCAACTTGCCAAGGAGAAACTGTAATTGTTGCGTCCCTAAGCCTTTGGTGAGAAGATCAGCAATTTGTAGTTTAGTGTCAACAGAACGTGGAACAATTTCTTTGGTGTCAACTCGCTCACGAACAAAAAAACAATCCATCTCCACATGTTTTGTCCGTTCGTGGAAAACGAGATTGGTAGCTATATGACGAGCAGCTTGGTTATCGCAGAAAAGAGGAGTAGGTCCAGTAATGTTTTCATCCAACTCTTTCAGCAGCCATCTAACCTATAAAACTTCACTAACTGTTGACGCCATGGATCGGTATTCAGCTTCAGCTTAAGAACGGGAAACCACATATTGCTTCTTTGTTTTCTAAGAGATAGGTGCACCTCCAAATAATAGCATGTAACCTGTACTAGATCGTCGAGTAAGAGGACACCTTAACCAATCAGAGTCACAATATGCCAAGAGATCACCACCACCTTCTCGTGGAAGAAGGACTCCTTGACCTGGAGTGGCTTTTAGGTACCGAAGCACTCGGACAACTGCATTCATATGAGGTTGTCGTGGATCTACGACAAATTGACTTAAAAGATTTACCGTGTAGGCTACGTCTGGTCTGGTTGCCTGCATCAACCTTCGGCTCCTTTTCAGCCTTGTCTAGTTTAAGGTTTTGTTCAATGGGAAATGAACTAGGCCGACACCCTTGCATACCACAATCATCAAGTATATCAAGGATGTACTTCCGTTGACTCAACACTAAGCCTTTTGGGACACGAGTAACCTCTATCCCAAGGAAATATTTGAGATTTCCAAGGTCTTTGATGCTGAATCGTTTGTCAAGTTCTTCTTTTGTTTCATGAATTTTGTTGGTGTCATTCCCCACGATGATGACATCATCAACGTAAATGAGAGCTGCTATAAAGACATTTTCCTGTCGTAATATGAACAGCGAATGATCTACCTTTGACTGTTTAAACCGTAGCTCGAGAAGGGCATTGGTACATTTTTTATACCAATTTCGAGAAGCTTGTTTCAAGCCATACAATGACTTTCTGAGCCTACATACTTTCGTTTCTCCTTCTTTAGCAAATCCTTGAGGGATCTTCATGTTCATTTCTTCGTTTAAGTCACCATGCAAGAAAGCATTATTGACGTCTAGTTGTTGTATGGACCAATTTCTTTTGACAGCGACAGCAAGCAAAGTGCGTACAGTGACAAGTTTAGCAACTGGAGCGAAGGTATCATGATAATCCATGCCCTCCAGTTGCGTGAAACCTTTAGCAACCAGACGTGCTTTGAACCTCACTACTTCTCCATTTGGTTTGTATTTTATTTTGTATACCCATTTTGAATCGATAGCGCGTTTGCCTTCTGGTAAGTCTTCAATGGTCCAAGTATCGTTTTCTTCGAGTGCCCTAACCTCTCTTCTCATGGCATTTTTCCATCTCTCATCTTTGACTGCTTGATGGAAATATTTTGGCTCATCGATAGAATCGATGGCAGCTAAGAAAACTTTGTGAGAGTTAGAGAAATTATTATAAGAAACATAGTTTGTTAAAAGGTATACCGTGGAAGAGCTTTGAGTTGGCGGGGTGCGCGTAAGGTTGACCGAATGGGGCAGCTGAACGATATAATCTTGCAAGTGACGTGGCTGTGTTCTGGTTCGTTGAGGTCGTGAGTATTCAGCAGTTTGATCATTGTCGCTGTGACTGATAGGGCTATGCTCAGTTTCCACTTCATGCATGTGGTTGAGCCTCGTTGTCATGCAAAAAATCAGAATCATCACTTGACGGAGTATGTTGATTTTCGATTGAGTCTAACCCACGTTCCTCATCATTGGGAACCTCATAAGGCACGRTTTCATCAAAACAATCACCTCSACTTGCCTCGCTTTCAGTTTCGGTGAAAGGGAATTTTGTTTCATGAAATCTCACGTCTCTAGATACCGCCATTCTTCTCTTCTCAATGTCATATATTTTATAACCCTTTGTACCCGTTGGATATCCCAAGAAAATCCCCGGTCTCCCCCTCATTTCAAACTTGTCACCTTTGGTTTCTGTGTTTCTGTAGTAAGCTAGACAATCGAAAACCTTCATGAAGTTGTAGTCGGGCTTTTGACCAAAAACGATTTCATATGGGGTTTTGTTGTCAATCACACGAGATGGCAGTCGATTAATGATATAGGTGGCAGTTAAGATACACTCACCCCAAAAGCGTTTAGGAAGGTTTGCTTGAAACCTTAAGGCTCGTGCCGTCTCAAAGAGGTGTCGATGCTTCCGCTCAACGACTCCGTTCTGTTGAGGCGTGTGTGGACAGGAGGTCTCAAGTTTGATCCCCTCTTCATTATAGAAGTTCAGCATGTCGTTCGAGGTAAACTTGCCGCCATTGTCGCACCTGATCTTCTTAATGTTCTTGTCAAATTGATTCTTTATCATTTTGTGGAAATTCATCAGATGTTTGCTAACTTCATGTTTAAACTTCAACAGAAAAACCCAAACAACTCTACTGAAATCGTCAACTATAGTAAAAAAATAACCAGCTCTCGATAAAGGAGTACGGTATTTACCCCAAATGTCACAATGCAATAACTCAAAACAACCACTAGTTTTAATTTCACTGTTTGAAAAAGGAAGCCTTGTGTGTTTGGCTTTAGAACAAGAATCACATTGTTTATTAAAAGAAAAACTACTAAGAGACTCGATTTTGGCAAGTTTTTCGTTTGAAGCGTGACCTAGCCTTTTGTGCCAAATGCCGCCCGTCGTCATCGTCACTTTTCTAGACATCTCAAGGACTCCCATTCGGTACAGACCCCTCTTGCATTCACCCGCACCAATCAAGCTCTTCGTGTACAACTTCTGTATAATACAAAAGTCAAGAAAGAAGGTTATTGCGCATTGAAGATCTTTACATATTCGACTTACTGACAGAAGATTGTAAGTGAATTTAGGTATGTGAAGAACACCATTGAGTTTAGTACCACCAGGCAAAAAACAACTTCTTTTTCCCTCAACTGGGATAACATCACCATTAGGGATAAGAACAGGATTTTCAAAATGAGTTTTGGTTATGTTTTCAAGAATGCCATCGTCGTGGGTTATGTGCTCGGTTGATCCTGAGTCCACAACCTAATCGTTGTTAACATCCCTATTACCTGTCATGTAAGCTGTCGGTTTGATCCTATCCTTATTCGTACCTTCCTTCTCTTCAAAGTGCTTCAGAAAAGTCATGTATTGGTCGGCGCTCAGGCCTGGAACGGGACTCAATTCCTTGTCGACATAGGCAGCTTTTGGCTTCGATTCCGTTCGCCTTTTGTTTCCCGGCCACCACTCGGGATATCCTATCCTTTTGAAACAACCCTCTTTGGAGTGACCATCCTTTCCACAGAAAGTACAATTTTGACGATCTTTCCTTTCTTCGCATCGGTGGGCCCTGTTTTGTCACATCGCTGGTTCGGAGTGCTTTCACGTCGTACTGGCATGGTGGTCTTGAAGGCCGCTGCCTCCACTGAAGGTCTCTTGTCCCTAGAAATAGCTCTTTGCCGCTCGTCCTCCGCAACAAGGTGGTAAGCGTTCCCCAGATTAGGAATCAAATTTGTAGCCAAAATCTGGGTCCTAATGACGGAGAATTCGTTATCAAGACCCATGAGGAATTCATACAATTTTTCTTTGTCTCTCAGTTGACTTAGGTTTTTGGTGACGTCACACTTGCATCCACTACATGTGCAGCGGGGTAAGGGCAATGCAGCTTGCATCTTGTCCTATATGGCTCGGAGCTTGGTGTAGTATGTTGACATGGATGCCCCCTTCTGGTGGGTAGATGCCAGCGTTTGCTTGAGCTTGTAGGCACGAGGAGCATTCTCCTTTCCGAATCGTTCTTGAAGGTCCGCCCAAATTTCTGAAGCGGTATTAGCGTACTTTACGCTTCCTCTGATGTCTCTTTCTATTGCCGTGGTGAGCCAGCCCTTCACTATAGCATCACAACGCATCCACAACATGTAGTTGGCATGTGTCTTTTCGGGTTTCTCGATGGTGCCATCAACGAAGCCTACCTTGTTTTTGGCAAAGAGAAAATTCATCATCTCTTGCGACCAATCTGCAAAATTGCTGTCGGTGAGATTGTCGTTGACGTGCATCTGTTTTGGGTAATCGGATGCATGGATGTAGAACGGTGAGTTCGGATCCGGTGCATCATTCTTTTTGTTTGAGGACTCTGCGTCGCCGGTCATGTCTGTCGGCTATTTGAGACTTTTAGGGTTTGGATGTAGCCCGCTCTGATACCATGACAAAATCGATAATCAAAGAAGGGTTTCCATTCATTGCATCAAAACAGAATACACGGAGGCTATATATAATAGGAAAAGAGATAAACGAGGAAACAAAAATAAACCACAAAGATAGGAGATATGCACGGAAGAGATAAAGGAAAGTAATCTAATCCTCTAATCCTAATAGGTTTCTTAGAAGCTTTAAACGAAGAGGAAGAATGAGAGGTAAAGAGTAAATGAGGAGAATAGACCATATTCCTGACTTAAATGACTTGCACATAGTGCGACCCTGCCATGCAACCCCAAGGTCGTGGCACAAGGGTCGCTCGTGTCCCAATTCAACCTACGGTACAAGAAACGTGACCCTGTCATTGCGATATAAGGGCCAAAGTCACGAGGGTCGCAGACTCCCAAATTCCATTCTTACGTTACATCAAGTGCGACCCTGGCCATGCTACACAAGGGTCGCGGCACAAGGATCGTACGACCCAAGCTGATGCCTAAAATGCCAAAATCAAACCTGTTCTAAGGACTAAATTCTATAAATTAGCAATATCGAATTTAGACACACGAAAATCCCAATAACAAGCGTAACCTTGAAGAAGAATTGATCAAGATCTAATTACGTACTTCAAAAAAATCTGGGTGTTACAATCTAATATGTTCACTTCTTCATTTAGGTTAGCTTCCCAATCTTCCCCTTCGTCTCCAATGTGATCATCAAAGGCAGAGGCCAGGAACCAACAACCGTGGTCACTAGTCAACTATAGCATGCATTGGAGGGTAAAAAAGGAGGATACTGAGGACTAACTATTGAGGAGGAGTTGAGGACCACAATTCCACAAGCACTAAACAGAGGGAGTGAGGACCTCAATTACCAGGAGCAAAAGCAGGGCTGTTGAATGTTGATTCGACGAGAAGGATGGGGAGGTTGGTGGAGGTGTCAATGAGGAGGTTGATGGCTGGAATAAGACTCGTGGTTGTGAAGAAGATGGAGGAGGTTGGGCCTAGGTACGAGATCGAGCGAGGAATGAGGAGAAGAGGACGATAATGTTGAAACTTGAAAGTTAGAAATTTGAAAACCTGATAAAGACTAATCCAATTTGTTAACTTTTCCAGGTTGAGTAGGCTCTTTAACTTAACTATTTCGATGGAAATGGCTCTCCTTCGTCATCAAAAGGTGTTTTTTTGGGTATGAAGTGTAATCCATCATTCATTGTTTGGATAACGAGTCTTATCCATATATTCGGTGTTTTGGGTACAGAGTTTTATTCATGTTTTTGGTGTTTGAATATTATGTTTCATTCACGTTTTAATTTCACATTAAAATTGGTGTTTCGGTCATTGAGTTTTCATCATGAAATAGTGGGTTTCGTAAAAGAAGTTACTTTTATGGTAAATACATTTTCGTTTGGGAAACTATGACTTAAGGAAACGTTTTAAGTTTTATCATCTTACATTTGAAATGAAAACTGTTTGAATTCGCTAGACTTTAAGCTTGACACTTTTTATTGTTGACATGTGCATCACGGCCTAGCTATGGTTCTAACGACACTTGTGTAGAGTAGAGTGTTAGTTAGGGGCACGAGAAGGACTTAGCAATTCTTGGGATGTCTTTCGTACTTTGGAGATGACGATTGCATTTGGTTTTATTAACACCTGTTTCTAACCTAGTCCTTGTGTAAGGATTGGTTTGAAAGTTGTTGATTGTTAAATTTGGTATTTCCTTGTAAGCAACTGAAGGATAATCTTTGAAAATGAATTTGGAGTAGGATTAAAATTTACTATGTGTTAGGCCTTCGACTTGTCTTTTCGGAAGTCTTTAGAGTCTCTCACATGAGATCAACTTAAGATCTGAAGTCTGTCTTTCAGAGGTCTTCAACACTTACGTCTTTCTAAAAACATGAAGATCGAACTCAAATGTTCCCGCCTAAAGTTAGTTAGTGCACTTTCCACGTGGAAGAAGCTCATTAGTCACTTTCATCTTTAGCGCCTATAAGTAAAGAGTTGATGTTCTTTGTAAGATAACTTATGCCTCTCTGCTCAGAAGAAATCGTTTGAAGATCAATCTTGTAATCTCTCATTTACAGCTTTTGTAACACTCCAATATCACACTTGCATAAAAATATTTATTTCCATATATCAAGAAATGTAATTTTACATATTTGGTCCCAATATCTACAAAAGTTACATTACAAAGTAGCTACCAAATTTTTCATATAATTTTAGTACACAACTTGTATACATAACAAGTATTCAAATACAAAAGAAAACACATTATCCCAATATCCCATTCATGAATTTATAAAGTCTTCATAATTTTCCCTTTCCCTTATCATCCAGTTGTGCCCGACCTGTTATGCACATTTAGTGGCCTACGATTTTGACGACGATTTGAAGATCTATTTTTTCTTATTACATAACGGTTTATATAAATAGGTGGTCAGAGGGGACCATTATCACCATCCCCACCGACATCCACCACCAAGCATATAGAAACAAACCTCCTTTGGTATTCTGATCCCCCTCAGTCACCGATCACCGTCCACTGATCACCATCGACCACCGATCATCGTCCACTGACCAAAGACCATCAAGCACCGACGACCATCGATCACCGTCCACCGACATCCACCACTGTATACCAACATCTACTACATCCACCTCCAACGTCCACCACCGTCTGCCGCCACCTACCACCGTCCACCTCCGGCATCTACCACCATCTGTCGCCACCGACCACCGTTTACTGCCACCTACCACCGTATATCGCCACTTACCACCGTCTGTCGCTACCTACCATCATGGAACAACCGGTAAAAAGTCTCATTTTTTTTAAATTTAACTTAAGAATCTATTTTTGTCTACTATTTAACTTAATAATCTATATTTTAATTTTGTTTATATTAATTTTGTACAACATTTAATTCTTGAATTATTTTTTGACAGCTGTTCTACCAGTCGTTACTGCATTGTAGGCCCAAATTTCTATAATAAAAAAATAAACGAAATATTATAAACTAATCTAAGGAGGTTAAACATGTTAAGAGATACATGTTTCGGCCCATGGTTAGAAGAGAAGTGACACACCACCTCGTAGTGGTGTTTGGTTGATTTTTTAACCTTTATCTGGAAGTTTTCATAAACGCACTTTAATCCCAATATGAGCTTCAATACTTTCTTCGAGTTAAAGGTTTGGAAAACTTTTACATGGGATATAGGCTGGTAGGAAATGTTTCCCTGTCTAGGTTTGATAACAGGGGCTGAGCAATGTGTTAGGTTGGGCATACTCCAAAAACTATTCCTTACCGGACATATTTCTTCATCATCTTAGTTATCGTCTTCGGGATATTCAAAATTTCTGCTGCAACATAAACGTCTTCATTCATATTTACCTCCCATAATGGTTTTGACTGTTTCGGAGACTGGATCAGGAACTGGTTGGAAGACCGTATCGGAAAATGATTCAAATCTTGAACAAAATACCTATCATGATACATGATTTATTGGTCTAAAATCATCAGCCAGTTGATTATCAGGTTTATTGACTATGGCAGCACCATGTTGATTGATTCTGACAAACATTGTAGGTATAAGCTCCACTACCACCGGGGAAGAAACTGTTTGGTTGATTGAATCCGGCAGCATAATATGGATTTCCTTCACTACCACTAGGGAAGAAATAACTTGATTCATTGATTCTGTAGAATCGTATGGATTTCCACCACTACCATCGGGGTAAAAAGTACCTGTTTGATTGATTCCAGAAGGACCGTATGGGTTTGCACCACTAGCGCCGAGGAAATACATACTTCGTTGAGGGATTACGACACTTGATGTATTTCCACCATAACCACCATTGTTGACAACAGAGAGTGTCAAAATTTCCGGTAAACTTTGATGAATAAATTCTGGAACATCACCATATCGTCGTCGTTGCCTAGCTCAAATAACTTTTGACTGGAATTGGAATTATTTTTATGGAATAACCTAAAAGGACTACGTAAAATTAACTTTTTCTCAACACGTTTAAGCAAACCATAATATGTTATTGGTGAAGGCAAATGTAATATACGTGTGGGGGCTGTTAACGACATATACTCTATGGCACCATTTATCGTTTGGAATGAACCGTCACTTTGAACATACACGGAACCATTATCACTTTGACGTGATTTCATATTTATGTTTAAGGATTAAGGGTTGTAATGGTAGATTGTGTTTAAGAGTTAAGGGTTGTGATGGTAGATTGTGTTGAAGGGTTGTAAGAGTAGAAGTGTTTGAAACCTTCATTTTTAGCTTTGTCAATTTAGAAAATATGAGAGTAGAAGTGAAATGTGAAGGAAAATGAATGAGAAGTCACAAGCTATACATAGTGATATTTCGTAAGAAGGAATGAGTGATCACTACAAAATAGTCTGGGGGAGATCCTGGGGTAAGTGGGGCTGATCCCCCTTTTCAGATAAAAATCAGATTTTTTGTCCCCCAAATCAGATACATGTAGGACTCCTTCCATATTTTTTTAAGTCCAATCAGATACCAAGGGCGATCCTAGTGGTTATTTTGTGACAACTCGTTGAAAAGTGGCTATTTTGTTAATACAATATGTATAAAGCCATTATTTTGGTGATTTTCCCTTAAATAAATTCACCATGTGTATCAACCAAAAGTGCATCTTATTGGTTAACAAAAGATTTCAAAATATAGTTCGAGTAATATGGATAATCATAGAGTAAAACACTTTTCAACAAAATAGTCCCTTTTGTAAAGATTCCATTATAGTTCGAGTAATATGGATAATCATAGAGTAAAACAGATCGACGACAATGAGAATGAAAAAGCTAAAAGCGTCTACGAATACATTCGGAATTCGAATTCCGAAAGTGAAGAAAATGATCAAAGCGTTCACGCACATGTTCACTCAAACGTCGACATATGTGTTCACTCGTGCACATATATGT